CTTGCAGGCGTCCTATGCCTTCTTCACGCTAGCTATGTAAGCTACTAGCGTGAGCCAGGGCTCATAACCTGTTAAGAATATGAAGGCAAGGCGACTGGTCGCGATATAAGGGTTACAGTCTGTGGGTTAGTGGTGAACGGCAAGAAGACTTTAGGAGATTCCTATGAAGGAATACCGATCCATCCGAAGATGAGATAGAAAGACATGCACCACTCTGGTCTTATGTACCGATACCAACGGAAGTATCGTACAGTCGTCCACCATCCCTGGACCTGAGGACACGTCAGAGATACGCGGCCGAGACACCCGAGGCACGGCCGAGGCACAGCCGAGGCAAGGTCGAGGCACGGCCGAGGCAAGGTCGAGGCACGTCCGAGGCATCGCCTATCACGGCGGATCCATCGCGTAACTACCACCTATCTACGTTGGGATAGGACCGCCCCTTCAACACGCCCCCTCGGGACATATCCCAACTCGCAGTAGCACATTTGCTCCGCCAATGGGCACTTCACACAACACCCATAGCTTCTCTGCACCGTTTGAACTTCACTTCTCCCAGTGCCTTCGTGAGTGCATCCGCTACCATCCACTCTGTAGGGCAGTACTCCAACTGCACCTCCCTGCTATTCACCCTATCACGCACTATGTGGTGCTGCACGTCGATGTGTTTCGACCGAGCAGACGTAATCGGATTATTTCCCAAGCTATGCGCCCCCTGGGAGTCTATCTTGATATTCACCGCGCTCTCAGGCAAGCCCAAATCGACCATCAGCTAGCGAAGCCACAAAGCTTCACGAACAGCCGCCGCTGTAGCTTGGTACTCGGCCTCCACCGACGAAGCCGCCACAGTACGTTGAAGTTGGCTGCTCCAGCTAATCGCAGCCCCATTAAGAGTGAATATGTAGCCAGATGTAGAATGCCACGTAACTGGGTGGGTCTCCTGCCCAGTCCGAATCACTGTACCCGGACATTGCAACACCGCCAACACCCCCAAAACGCAATCCTAGTTCGCGAGTACCCGCCAGGTAACGCAAAACACCGGTTGCCAAGTTCATGGCAGTCTTCGTAGGTGTGGCCATATGCCGGGACAAAACACTCCATGCATAAGGAATGTCAGGCCGTGTGTTCGTCGCTAGGTAGTTCAACTCTCCCATGGGCCACCAAAGCCCTCCGTGGGATTACCCAGCAGCTCACCTCTATCCCCCGTAGGTGTGCACCTAAAACCCGGAGGCAAAGGGTAGATCGTGGCTTGGTGTCCACCTTCTGGTGACGTTCCAATAGCTGCTCAATATTGCGACAACAACAATTCGCCCGGCTTCTTCCTCTAATTCCATGCCCGAAAATACCTGCGCTTCTCCAAGGTGTCGTACTTCTCGTACATCTTTGCAACTAGCCATGCAAAAGAGTGCTCGACACTGTAAGTTGTCCCGCTCAGAATCGCTGATAACGTGTCCTACTCCCAAACAAGTCCGACTGTAATTGCTTGCAGGCGTCCTATGCCTTCTTCACGCTAGCTATGTAAGCTACTAGCGTGAGCCAGGGCTCATAACCTGTTAAGAATATGAAGGCAAGGCGACTGGTCGCGATATAAGGGTTACAGTCTGTGGGTTAGTGGTGAACGGCAAGAAGACTTTAGGAGATTCCTATGAAGGAATACCGATCCATCCGAAGATGAGATAGAAAGACATGCACCACTCTGGTCTTATGTACCGATACCAACGGAAGTATCGTACAGTCGTCCACCATCCCTGGACCTGAGGACACGTCAGAGATACGCGGCCGAGATACCCGAGGCACGGCCGAGGCACAGCCGAGGCAAGGTCGAGGCACGGCCGAGGCAAGGTCGAGGCACGGCCGAGGCAAGGTCGAGGCACGTCCGAGGCATCGCCTATCACGGCAGATCCATCGCGTAACTACCACCTATCTACGTTGGGATAGGACCGCCCAACACACTCTGCGCCTCTCGTTTGCATTTGCACCTCAAATGGCTTACTCAGCAAAAGCGCAGCAGGGTTCGGATCAGTGACAGCCACGTTAAATGCGACCTCCTATCCTGTATCACCACACCACCACTCCGAGGGCAATAATATATCCTCATGCTCCCTGCCCTCTACTTCTGAACTCCTGCGCTGGCTTGCCGCTGGCAAAGGCCCTGACTCAGGTACACCAATACTAGCCGCTTCGGAGTCAGACAACTTATAGTGGTTCGTATCTTGCAGCAAAAATATGCACGGCATCACTGCACTGCCGCCACCGCCTGTCTGTTGAGGCATGCTACCCCACCTGCCACGTGTGGTCGCCAAGACCACCTCCCTTTCTTCCCTGCACGTTAGGCTGCGGCTCTATGCAACTCCGAGCTATACGGCCCGTCTGTTTGTAGTTGCAGCAATTGATCGTCTGCTGCAATCCACGCTGTCCAGTTGGGTCGACTGGATACAAACGTTTTTTACGGCACTCACGTCGTCTGCATGTGGGCCTGAGATGGCTTCGGCATAAACGTTAGGCTCTGAATCCCAGCAGATACTGCAGCAATGACTCGGCCTGTAGCACTACGACCAGGTACACTCCGTCACCACTCGCCAGGACGTTTGCATTCCCTATCTGATTACCGAGCCCCCAGCATTTTCACATGAGGGTGTATTACCAGGCACACGAGCACTGCTGGAAAGTTCAACCCCAGCCAGCGCCCCCTCGCCACCCAAATGCGGCGATCCCTCGCTCACGGTATTGTCTTGTGTCCATTCGCCAGCCCTAGGCAGCGACCGCTCACCAGGCAAACTAGTGGGCAACCCTCGTCGGCATCGGACCCATCAACGGAATCCCTGGCATTATGCCGCTGACCGTCACTAGGCTCATCAAAGAGGACATTGGAGACCACGGAGATGATGCCGTCCTCATACATAACACGATACTGTCCTCCATTCCCATATTCGGCCAGGATCCCTCAGATGCTTACTGTTGTAAGCTACAAACGTAACCTGCCTCGAACAACGCGAGGGATTGATTATCGGGAGTTGTTTGCCCCAACCTCTCGTGGTTCATCTTTACGTGCTCTATTACGTCTGTAATTTTTCCACGTGACTATAGACGAACTGTTTTGAGTTTTAGACGGCTCGTCTATAGAAGAGTTTTTTAGACGATATAGACGACCGTCTAATAGACGACCCATAGACGACCGTCTATACCCAGTCGTCTATAGACAGGTCGTCTATAGATTACGTCTATAGACGAAGCGGATATAGACGGTTATCTATAGACAAGTCGGATATAGACACTGTCTATAGACAGTCGGGTATAGGCTATTATCTTTTAGACGGCAGTAGATGGCGGGCATCGTTCCTTATTCATGTGTTACAATCTCAAATCGTTTCCTCTATGAGCTTCCACCAGGGCTTCACCCACCATGTTATTCAGGTTCCGGGTCCAGGTTTGTCATTGCCATTGACACTAGCAAACCAGTGGTTGTCATCAACCTTGGCTGATGAAACCTCAACCTTGGTTGTCATCAACGACATCAATATCCACAGTATCTAAATCCATGTCTCCTTTAGGCATACACAAGGCATGCGCTTCCAGGCTCCACCCATCCCAGCATCGCAAGTACTGAGTACTACTTAAACCATGAGTGCTTCTCCTTTTCCTTTTCCATAAGGACCCTGGTAAGCTCTTCCCAAGCCGCCGAGGGCTGCAAATCCTTCCGTGCCCTCACCTCATCCATCACCTCCTCACTCACAACAGGAATCAGGTCATCTGGGGGCAACCCCACCAGGTCATTCAAGACAAACTTAGGGTTCAGCTCGGCAGCTGTGCTGTTGCCAGTCGCAACCCTGCATGACTTCCCACCCTTCCCACTGGCACTGGGTGCCTGTGCCCCCTTGCCCTTTGGGGGCACATGGACAATGCAAACCCGCTGCAGCACTGTCTCCAGCGGTATGCAGCCGAATGATGCGGCTGGCTGGCCACTCCGCCTGTCAAGGGTCACGAGTGGGTGCAAATGTGGGATTAGTGTTTGTGGGGCTGTCAGTGATAGTGATAGTCAGTGACAACACCCTGCATTTGTGAGTACTTTTCGCCCCCGCCCCTCATGCTTCATTCATGTGCTCTGCAAAATGTTGGGCATGAATGCAAGAAAGCTTTTGACCCATGCTTAACCAAGAAGGGAGAAAGAAAATAAGATACACCCACCATACGTACCTAAACCAGACGAGGGGCCGCAAGTTCAGGGAACGATTCCATCCGTCACCGGAGGCATCAAACCACCGCACATACACCAGGTCGGCATCATACTCGCCACATGCGACACTGAGCAGCAAGAGCACCTGTAAAGAGCACCTCAGCATCAAAAGCAATACCATTTTTCGTGATAAACACTGCCTGCTCTTCAAAAGCCGACCAATTTTCATCGAGAAGGTTCAAAATAAAAGTGGAGTCCATAATTTTAAATTAAGCAGATAAACCGAGGCCTGATGGGCAATGCTGACAACCTTCCCTGATAGACGAATCTTCTTCAATTTCAATCTGCCGTACTCGCGTCCCTCGTAAGGGACGCGAGTACAACACAGCTGCTCAAGACCACCGACAAAAATGATAAAAGCTCTGCGGTTGCTCATAAGCTATCATAGAATTTCGTAGCATATCCAACTGCATATGCTGATGTCGTGGCACCAAAATGGATGTCAGCAATGCTGTGGTCAGATTTGTGCAACTCGGCAGGAAGCAGAAGGATATTAAACAACAGCTTTTATTGTCAGCTAATGATCTTGCATTGACTTGCGGGTTATGGGTGGTGTTACACCACGCATCCATGCATACATGGCAAGGGTGGTGGAGTTGGAATGGCTGTTCATCACAGCCTGTGCTGGTGAGAGTTTTCAAAACCAGCCGGCCTGTGCTGGGAAGTTGCCAGACATTGCAGTTATAAAGGACCATGACGAGCCTTTGTTGTGGGCTTGTCGATGAGGGATGGGCTTCACTGAAGTCTGCCCAATTATCTCAAACTGCTACAGTTTTGTGGTAAGGAAGTGGGAGAGGCTGGGCACTGCCTGGTCCCCACAGCATGTGCTGGGGTTTTGTAAGTATGGCGATAATCGTTACATGCCAGGCAGTGTTAGCCTGCCAGAACCTTGCCAACATTGATGCAGAACAGACATCAGCTCAGCGGCATGGTTTAACCCAAGCAGACACTCTCCAGCATATTGAACTCCTCTCACCGTCTACCCATCGTCTATCCTTCGTCTACAATAGATGAATCGACTATAGACGACATGCATAGACGACTCGACTTTAGACGAACTATTGTAGATGACTCGTCTAATAGACGGGTCTTCAGGATATAGACGACCGAAAAAAATACAGACGTAGCAGTTGCCGCAGCGCGGAACATGACGGTGCACCAGCTCTTTCTGAATGGTGAGCTGAAGGAGGAATTGTGGATGGAGCAACCGCCTGGGTATGCATCCAGTGACCGGTCGCTTGCGTGCAAGCTGCAGAAGTCGATTTACGGTTTGAAGCAGGCACCCCGTTGCTGGTATGAGAAGCTATCAGCAGAGTTCGCCAAGCTGGGGCTTTATCCTACCAAGTCTGATCCGGCGATGTTTGTTAAGACTGACGAGCGTGGGGTTGTTATTGCTGTGGTGCACGTAGATGATACCATTGTTGCGTCGGAAGACCCGGAAATGGTCCGGGCAATTAAAGCTGCAATTGCGAAGGTCTTCAAGGTGCGCGACCTTGGAGAGGCGAAGGTGTTTTTGGGCATGGAAATTAGGAGGGAGAAGTCGGGTGAGATAGTGTTGTCGCAACATAGGTATATTGCGCAGCTATTGGAGCGTCATAAGTTGGTTGACGCCAAACCGAGGTCTACCCCTTTGCCTCCGGGCTTTAGGTACACTCCTACAGGGGACGGAGAAAAGCTGCTGGACAATCCCACGGAGTATAGGGCTTTGGTGGGGGAATTGAATTACCTAGCGACGAACACGAGGCCTGACATTTCGTATGCATTGAGCGTTTTGTCCCGGCATATGGCCGCACCCACGAAGAGTGCTATGAACTTAGCAATTGGCGTTCTGCGTTACCTGGCGGGTACTCGCGAACTAGGATTGCGTTTTGGGGGTGTTGGGGTGTTGGTGACATTGAGATGTCCGGGTATAGCGATTCTGACTGGGCAGGAGACCCAGTTACGCGGCGTTCTACATCCGGTTACGTGTTTACTCTTAATGGGGCTGCGATTAGCTGAAGCAGCCAACTTCAACGTACTGTGGCGGCTTCGTCGGTGGAGGCCGAGTATCAAGCGACAGCGGCAGCTGTTCGCGAGGCTTTGTGGCTTCGCAAGCTGATGGTTGATTTGGGTTTACCTGAGAGCGCTATCAAGATTCAAATAGATTCCCAGGGGGCGCTTAGCTTAGGAAATAACCCGATTACGTCTGCTCGGTCGAAGCACATCGACGTACAGCATCACATAGTGCGTGAGAGGGTGAATAGCGGTGAGGTGCAGTTGGAATACTGCCCTACGGAGTGGATGGTTGCGGATGTGCTCATGAAGGCTCTAGGCGGTGAAGTTCAAACGTTGCCGAGATGCGATGAGCCTTGTGTGAAGTGTACTTGAACTTGGTACTCGTTGGGATACGGCCCGAGGGGGCGTGTTGAGGAAACGGTCCTCTCCCAACTCGTGTGGTTGTCGACCCCGGGTCTGCGCCTAACTAATGGGGAAGACTTACCCCAGAACCGTATGGGCTACCGATGCATATCCGGTAGCTAAGTCATAGACATTTGGGCACCGTCTGGACGGCGCAGTGAGATCGCGGAATGTACGTGCAGTTAGATCGCGGAATGTACGAGTTTTCCGCTAGCGCCGGTATTAAGGGCGGTGACTGCGCTTATTTGTTTATCTCACAACGATCGGTATTCCTCAAAGGAATCTCCTCAAGTCCTGCCGAACGCTAATAATGCTCTTTACATAACTTGTAACATTTTATCGTGCTAAATATCTTCGCCACCGGCAATTCTTCCGAGATAACAATCAGCGTTAGCCGTCACCGTCGCCAATTCTTCAATAGGATGTATGTGGACCTATGCCTGAACCTTTGCCTAGCGGTTCACGTTACATGACAACTCTGCTTGACGACCATACTGGTCTTTCAGCTGTTGCGTTTACAGCGACCAAGGAGGAGGTCTACCAGAAGATGGTGGTAATGTTAGCGGAACTGGAGCGCGCTTCTGGCAGGCAGGTTAAGGAGGTGCGTACGGATCGTGGCGGGGAGTTCATTAATGCTCGCACGAAGGGCTATTTCGCGTCCAGGGGTTCATGGAACTATGGTAGGCTACACCCCTGAGCAGAACGGAACAGCTGAACGTTTGAATCGCACTCTCCTAGACAAAACCAGGGCTATGCTTGTCGAGTCCGGACTACCTAAGTCATTATAGGCGGAAGCGTTTGCAACAGCCAATTATCTCAGGAATGTGTCGCCAACTGCTGGGTCAACTGTCACGCCGTATGAAGCTTTCTTCAACGTCCGTCCTAACGTCAGTCATCTTCGAGTTTTGGGTGCGTCACCTACGTCCACGTACCTGACGTCAAACGCGACAAGTTCGATCCGGTGAGCAGGCGTGGAATACTTGTCGGATACAGGAACGGAGGACAGTACCGTGTGCTGTACGAGGACGGCATTATTGCCGTAGTTTCTAATGTTTGCTTTGTTGTCGGCCGGCGGCGTTATGCCGGGGACTCCGATTACGAGTCTGATGCCGATGAGGAGGAGGACGTTCACACTAACTTGCCTGGTGAGGGATCGCTGCCTAGGGCTGGCGAAGGGATACCAGGTAGCACCGTCGGCGAGGGATCGCCGCATTTGGGTGGTGAGGGGGCGCCGGCTGGGGCTGGACCTTCCAGCAGTGCGAACGGGCAAGGAATTAATCAGCCTGATGTGGAAATGGTGGGAACTAGGTACCCAGTTAGAGAGCGTAAACGCCCTGGCGAGTGGTGGTGAAACGAGCCTGGTCGCACTGCTACTGGTCGCGTTAATGCTGCTTTTTCTGGTGGTATACCAGAACCTAATTCGCTTGCGGAAGCCATTTCGAGTCCACATCCCGATGACTGGCGGTGCACGATGGACGAGGAGATCGCCACCCAGATGGCTAAGTGTACTTGGGAGCTGAAGAAGCCACCTCCCGGTACTCGTTTGTTGCCGTGTCATTGGGTATACAAGGTCCAGTTCAATGATGATGGCAGTGTGGAGCGTTTTAAGGCGCGTTTGGTTGTGAAGGGGTTTGAGCAATGTGTGGGGATAGATTATGGGGAATTGTTTGCCCCTACCTCTTGTGGTTCATCATTACGTGCTTTGTTAGCAGTTGCAGCTGTACATACCCTTAAAATATTTCAACTATTACTGTTAACAATAACTGTTAATTCGTTAACAATTCGACTTAAGTTTCGTACATGTTACGACTTTCATCACATGTCTTGAACAAGGCAGTTGTTTGTAAGTGTGTGGCCGTGTGGCTGTGTGGCTGTGTGGCCATGTGGCCGTGTGTGTGGCCGTGTGACTGTGTGGCCGTGTGGCCGTGTGGCCATGTGGCCGTGTGGCCGTGTGGCCATGTGGCCGTGTGGCCGTGTGGCCGTGTGGCGGTGTGGCGGTGTGGCCGTGTGGCCATGTGGCCGTGTGGCCATGTGGCCGTGTGGCCGTGTGGCAGTGTGGCGGTGTGGCGATGTGGCCGTGTGGCGGTGTGGCCGTGTGGCCGTGTGGCCGTGTGGCGGTGTGGTGGTGTGGCCATGTGGCCGTGTGGCGGTGTGGCCGTGTGGCCGTGTGGCGGTGTGGCCGTGTGGACGTGTGGACGTGTGGACGTGTGGCGGTGTGGCCGTGTGGCCGTGTGGCCATGTGGCCGTGTGGCCGTGTGGCCCAGCTGAAATGCGCTATTGCTACTGTAGAATTCTTTATTGCAAGGTATCTTGCCTGTAGCCAACAAAAACTATGTGGCTGGCAAGGTTGAGGCCTGACTTCCGCTCCCGGAGTGTCAGGGTTCACATTCGCCTGCTGACTCCTCGGGTGTGTGTGGTGTGATGAAATGGGAGGTGGCCCCCCATCTTGTGGACGGTATAGGACGTGATTACATCATCTTGCGAACTGATCAGGAACTATGTTGAGGCGCCGTTAATCCGCTAGATTTGGTTGGATGCTTGTGGTGAGTTGCTGAACCCAACGAATATATTCTGAAGTTGGATGGGTTGAATGGATTAGGGTGCCCCTCTCACAGGGGAGAGCAGGGAACAGCCTCGGGGAAGGGGGCCACTGGTGAAGCTATACCAGCCTGTAAAAACATTCATATAATGAAATCGTATGAGCACAAACAAGTTTGGCTGCCTCCATTGACCGAGGCCAAAGTCACATCAACGCTTCTCGGGCTAAATTTAATCTCAAAAGGTGCCGCGTATCTCATAATTCAATTCTGAGATTATGGCGTATGATAACTCGAACACCCAGCTTGTGTTACCATTTGCCCGCCCGACTTGCCCTCAGCAGGCCGACAAATTTGTTTTCATTTCTCTATGAAGTACGCTTGCTGTTCGTTTGTACAATTACTTTGGAATGGCAGTGTGCCGCGGCTTATGAGGTGCTGTTAGTTCTAGAACACATCCATCTTTGCCACTCAAGCAAGGGGCTGTCAGTGGCAGGTCGCGGACCTCCAGACTGCGTGTAATGGCCAATGACTCTTAGCCGTGTCTGCTAGGTTCCAGAAAGACACCGTCTCTTCAATAGGTTATGAGTCCCGGCTTCCTGCCACCCGCGCTCTGACAAGCATAGCTGCCACAGCATCAGCACTGCTGCCACAGCATCAGCACTGCTGCCACAGCATCAGCACTGCTGCCACAGCATCAGCACTGCTGCCACAGCATTAGCACTGCTGCCACAGCATCAGCACTGCTGCCACAGCATCAGCACTGCTGCAACAAGCACAGCTCCCACCACGTCGACACTACCCTAGCTACCGGCCTGTACGGATGCAGGGGGCCCCCGCCATTTTTCCGGCTTCGAGGAAGCCGACACCCGACTTGTCGTCGTCTACGGCTTAGAGCTCGCAAGACTTGCATATCCTCTTCTCACTCGTGATCCCCCACAAGATCTACTTTTCCTCCTAGCGGCCAGCAGCTTAAACCCCAGCCTGTCCTCCTAGAAGCCACCCCTATGCTAATCTGGTTACTTCCCCTCCGAGGGGGAACCATGGGGGTGGTACTGCAGACAGCATCTCGGGGTGCCATGGCGGCATGAACTGTAGTTCGGGTAAATTGCTGTACCTCTATTGCGACATGAAGGGGATTTATCTTCGGGACATCTTACTGATGTGTCTCAATTACATACAAACGGATTGACATCAATATGAAGGGGACATGAAGTGCTGAGGAGGGATGTCAAGTGATCCGGCCAACAGTTGCGGACCAAGTCATCAATGCCGCCCACAAACGCCAATAAGCTTCCCAGTGACCTCTCATGCCCCTCTACCAGCTACACCGAACACCGCCGGAAGTTACATACATACATGCATACATGCCTACATGCACACACCCTGTTGTTGTCAACATTTTAGGATTGCCCCGTGTTTACCCCGTGTTAACCCCAACACATCTAGAACACATCCATCCACAGGTTCCTAATTATGGGTAAAGACCCTGTCGCGGGCCGTGTGTCGCCAATAGGTGTAGGTAGGTAGGTAGGTAGGTAGGTAGGTAGGTAGGTAGGTAGGTAGGTAGGTAGGTAGGTAGGTAGGTAGGTAGGTAGGTAGGTAGGTAGTGCACAAGGGTGCACGCAGCTTCCAATTTGCGATGACACATCACTACATCCAGTTCGGGCATCTGTGAAGGCAGAGTCCAGGATCCAGAGGGCAGGAAGGAGAGAAGATCCAGAATCCAGAGGGCAGAGTCCAAAATCCAGAGGGCAGAGTCCAGAATCCAGAGGGCAGAGTCCAGAATCCAGAGGGCAGGAAGGAACACAAACAAGCAATGGTGCAATGACGCGAGCTACCCCATGGCACAGCCTCATTCAGCTGGCCGACCAACTACTGGAAATCCAACTAACAAGACCGGACATGCATATGACCGGACACACACAACCGCCTGTCTACTTCTCTATGTAAGGGCAACGGCCGTGAAGCATGCATGGGATCAATCCATTACCGGGCATCTAACGGGCCCGATACCGTGCATACCGTCGGACACAGGATGCACAAACAGCATCATCATCAATGCTGGTAGGTGGGCGAGGTGGGCCCCTGGGGTGGGGTGCTCCTCCCCCTCAGGACAATGAGGACGCACGCAACAAAATTCCGCATTCTGAGCTGTAGCTACATCTCCAACAATACGCCCATAAGCCTCTGCACGCAGTCATCTGCCAGGCTGCTCTGCTACTGCGATAATGAAACAGTCATCGAGAGATACGCGCAGTGGCGGCGGCCCTCACTAGACGAAACACCGTCACTAGACGGAACCCGGCCCCCGAGCTGCTGCTGCTTCTGCTGCTTCTGCGGCTGCTGCTGCAGCTGCTGCTGCTGCCTGGCCCCTGCTGACTGGTGAAGGTGTTGGAGGCGCTGGCAGCCAAGCCGTTGTGCTGGTCCCCGAGGCTGGTCCTCCTAGCGAGCTAGCCGGCGCTGCCAGTGGTGAGTAACTGCCGCCCAGTGGGTAGTAGCTGCCCGGGTGGCCCGGAGGCGCCCGTGGAGGGGTGGCGCTGATGAACTCGGGGGAGACGTCCATTTCCTGCAGACAGACAGACAGACAGACAGACAGACAGACAGACAGACAGACAGACAGACAGACAGACAGACAGACAGACAGACAGACAGACAGACAGACAGACAGACAGACAGACAGACAGACAGACAGACAGACAGACAGACAGACAGACAGACAGACAGACAGACAGACAGACAGACAGACAGACAGACAGACAGACAGACAGACAGACAGACAGACAGACCGGCACACCCATAGACTGGCGCCTACATATCATTGGTTAGTCCTGGGGTGGGGTGGGGTGAGGCGGGTGGATGAGGACGGGAACCCTACACGCCTAGTTGCACTGGATGCGGTCATGTCGCTCAATAACGCAACACCCCTATCCCGACCCCAATATCCGGTCACACTGCTGCTGGTCATTTACCAGCACACTGCAGTATATGGGGAGCAATATGGGCAAAGCGCACATACAGAAAAGCTGTCCCAGCCACCCAGTCCTCTCCAGCGTTTTTTAACGTTTTTCCCCGTGGTAATGTTTTAGTGACCAAGTGGTTACTGTGGGAGACTGGAGTTTCCCTCCTGTAGGTAACCGCCTTACAGAATGTTTTCCCCAGTGAGTATGCTGAACAGGAGGCCCACTAGAACCATGCATCCGAAGATCCGACTTCACTTGAAGAGATTATACTAAACAAGCCGTCTGAGCAAGCTTTTATCAACTTTGACGCTATGTACGGCAACGCGTTCCCGAGCCGAGCTCGCTGAAGCATCACTGCTCCCATTTAAGCGTCAGAATCATTTCTAGGTTGTCACTACTACCGGGGGGGTCTGTGGCCCCCAATTTCCTGGCGACCACCACCTGGTTCTATATAATACTGGCAGGTGACTCGAAACATTTCCTAGTGACCACCTTCTGAAAGGGGATTATTTTCTCAGTAACCACTTGGTCACTAGTAACCACTTTTAAAAACACTGGTTCTCTCGGGGCTCCCACCCCTATCCATGTCCCCAGCCACCTATCCTGTAACCAACTGGTCGTCTGAGGTCCGCCTGCGACAACCTGCCCGCCTGCCCGCCTGCCTGCCCGCCTGCCCACCTCGGGATTGACCACCAACGGGTTGTACTCGGGCCCCAGTCGCGCTCTGAGCGCTCCAGGAAGGGGCAGCTTGTCCAGCAGAGTGGTGCGCATGTGGTGAAGAGCACGGGTAACCTTTACCAGGAAGAGGAAAACAGGAGGCGAAAAAACGCAGCAAATGCGCATGAGAGGCGGAACAGCAGAGCCGAACTTACGGCTCCCCAAAGATGCATCTTCTGCAGCGCTCATCCCCTGCCTAACCGAACGAGATGACAGTACGGCTAGATGACCAGTGGTATATGGGGAGGGGACATACCTACCTACCTACATACATACTAGGGTTTTGCAGCTAGGCAGGGATAACTAGCAACACTCATTGGGTATGGCCGCGAGCGCACAGCCACATCACATCACATCACATCACCTCACCTCACCTCATCTCACCTCACCTCACCTCACCTCACCTCACCTCACCTCACCTCACCTCACCTCACCTCACCTCACACCTCACCTCTCACCTCACCT